AATAAAATTATTTAGTGAGCCCAAATCTATGTGAATTAGAGTGATTAAAGAAAATTAAAAAAAGCGATTAAACTCATAGCCAACGATTTCTTCAGATCTTTCTTCTCTTAAAATGTTTCTCTTTCATTTTCCAAATTTCTTTCACCAGCCATAGCAAAGGTTTTACCATTTTTCACTGACTTATATTTCAAATCTATAGTGCGTTTCCTATAAACAACGACGATCATCATGGTGACAATAATTTTGATGAGTACGATGGTTTTTATGAATTATTATTATGAAAAAGATATTTGTTCAGTAAAATAGTAAAGATTTGCCCCGGGGTATTTCAAGTATTTTACCCCGGGGCAAGGGGTGAAAAAATCGCTAAAATACCCTGGGGTGACAGGGTCGGAGTCCTCGGGGTGGACACTCTAGTAATAACTTGACAAGTAAAATACTTACTCATTTTCTATTTTTAATTATTATTTTTTAATTTAGTTTCGGTGCCTAAAACTTGCTTTTCAATTACTATGGTTAAAATGAAATAAGTGTTATCGCACTAATCGAATATTGGTTATAAAAAAATTTAAGCGCATTAAACGAAAACGCATTAATCGAGGGATCCCTGTACATGCAAAACTAAATAAAAAGTAGTTTAACCCTGTTAGTAAAAAGCTATACTGAGATGTATAAACAAGCACATCAGTAGATGATGCAAAACTGTTAAGAACTTACATACAAACTCTCCATTTATACACTTTGTATATGTACACTGAAGTCTTTATCATACATTTTTTGTATGAATCATAAATAGATGAAAAAATAAGAAAACTGAAGCTCTACATTATCACCAAAAGTTATCTGAAGATGAATAACCAAGCTTAGATCAGTAGTTGAAACCAAACAGTGAAGAGCTTACATACAGTCTTTAAAGTGGTACATTGTTCAGACAAGTACTAAAAACTTTCTACATAAGTATTGAGCAGAAACTGAAACACAGAATATCTCTAAAGATAGAATGAAAATTGGGCACAGTAATGTACAATAAATAAGAATTATATTCAAGGTATACAAAAAATTGAATATGTATGCTCTTCCAAATCATGTTCATAGACAAATTTGTCTTTGTAAAAACATTGGCTATACAAGAAGTGAAATAAACATTGATAAAATCAATGAGATGTGAAAGTTTTTAAACATTAAACAAATGGAAAGGCCTAAATATAAATGCTGAGCGATGGTTTAAAAAAATACAAGTATTAAAAAAGCAAGGTGTTATAAACACCAAACCTCTACTAAAAAAACTTCAGTTTTTAAGAAAATAGAATATGAAGAAGAAAATAAAAAGAATCAGACTGACTTTTACTTTTCTTTCTAATAAAATGACTAGAAATGTGATGCCTCAATTTATTTTTAGAACAATTGTAACAAGTACAAAAGTTAGAAAACCTAATTAGTCATCATATATTGACGAGCTTTAGTAAAAAGAAAGTAATCTTCTTTGAAGTGTCTTAGAAGTATGATACTCCTCAAAGTGCCTTACACACAGATGAACCTTGCACTGCTTGCAACTCATCCTCGAATGAATTCCCTCAACAATTTGGGCTGCTCATCTTTGAGGATTTCCCATTTCCATTGTACACTACAGGCCAGAGGCTTTTGTTGTGTCTTCTTGCCTCTGGCCATTTTGGCTGGTCATGGAATGACTAGTAGCAGTATCTTCAGATTGTTGTGGGTCATCCTTGAGTGTATGTCAGGCTCCTCAAACAAAAGAGAATCCATCAGCTGGTTCTTCACAATTCATTGTTGGTGTTGTGGCTTCTTCCTCTGACTTGGAATAAAGAGTCTCTTCTTCTTCTGAGGAAGCAAAAAACATGAGCAATGGTTTGTCCTCAGTGAGAATCCACCTCTTTTTCAGGGAATCAATCACATCTTTAGAGGGCATCTGAGAAAATTTTAGTATGTTTTTAGTATAGTTGTTTATATATATATATATATATTGTTACGTCTCAGTTTGTTAATTGATTTTCCGTAACTTCATTCCGACGAAACTTTAGCGACACAAGTCCTTACTTAATAAAACTGGTTTATTCTTTCTGAATATAACTTTACCGATACACTTATTTTCAACAGTTGCCCTTTTACAAACGTTTTAACAACGAACGTTAACTTCAACAATACTTCCTGACTGCAGTTCAATTACTCACTACCTACGCACATTGTTGTCACGTTGTGAGCATCTTATATATATACCAGACAAACATATATCTAGTAAATGCTAGGGCATTCAAGAAGGAACAAGATAGTTCTAGAAACGTGGTGTGACACTAGTCACGTGACCTCGCTGACGCAACAATATATATATATATATATTTGAACTATTGAACCTAGACTTAAAAGTACTAAGAATACATTTAACAAATTCAGTTAACAAATACAGTTTTACTGTTTGTTACAGTGAAAAGTATTTACACAGGCTAAATATAATGTATTGGTTGTTACCCAACATCAATTATGTGTGTTCTGTTAAAACAGCAGCAAAAATAGTATAAACATACTGTGTTGATTGGTATTAACATAAATTTTGTGAGATCAATTTGGTTAGTTTTTAGTTTATCTGTATCTTCAGGATAAGTCATATATTTGTTATTAATACAGTGTGTTTTGTCTATTGTAATTGTATCTTCATATCAACTTACTGTATAGTAATTCTTTTTTATAATTTATCTAGTAATTGTTTTTGACTCTGACTTTCATTCTTCCAGCTATTTTCACAACCAATGTAATCTTGTTTATCACTCACCAAAAATGATAATATTTGTGGAGGGTTTGGAATGTTTACTTGTGCTTTACATATTTTCTCCTTTAGAGTTATCAGTCTATTGTGATTTAAAGGATGTTATAGTCTGCATCTGTCTTTTTTTTTATTAAATTATTAAATCCCTTTATATCAAATATTAATAAAAGCAAAAAAGTTTTTTGTTTTTTCAGAGAATCATTACTTTCCATCTGGTTTAAACTTGTGGACATACCTTGTTTATTGTTTGTAGGGTTCTTGCACAATGAAGCTCAATGGCACCACTGAGATGATGGTAAGTTGAGAAGAACTTAAAGGTAAAAGGAACAAATTCTGTGTTAATGTCTATGGAAATTTAAGTGTGTGTGTGATTGGATGGATAGATAAATAAATATTTACAGATAGGTAGAGTATGAAAGCAAAATGTTTCACAAGGATATTACAATGACATATGATTTGTTCTGGGTGATATATTTTTCCACTAATTTTGTTTTTCACTAAAGAGATGTGCCACTATTGCTCATGTGACATTAATCTATTGTTTTCACTAATTAAAAAAATTCTAACAACAATGATTATGCTTTATATTATCACAGAAAAGTAACAATCCAGTTTGATCAATTTTAACATAAGCCAAATTTTTGCATTATTATGAAACCATTCTTATTGTTCAATGAATTTTAAGTTATTGCAGGCAAACATTTTAATTAACTCTTTCTGTATGGGCAGGGTCATTTTGGCTGACCTTGCAGCCACCATATAACCGTGAAAGTATACATACCATACCTTTAATTTAGTAAAAGATTCACAAAATTTGCCAAGCTTTTAGAAAACATTACAAATCTTTTGTACACAAAAACTTTGATTTGTCTGTGAATGTATAGAACCAGAACGTGACCAAGATTTTGAGTATTAGGAGTGCAAGATGAGTTTCATGTTCAGATTACAAATATTTTTTCATCTTCTACTTTCAGATTTCATTTGCACAACCTCTAAAACCTACTGAATGATTATCAAAAGTTTTTTGTTCAGGAAAACTATATTTTATCTGTTATTGTTTCTATCTTAACACTGTATAGCCTTGATTGATTAGACAGATTTTATAACGATCATAAAAAAAAAGTAGAAAATAAATCTAAATTGCTTTTCTTTTTTTTAGAATGACTGCAGATTGTAACAGAAAATTACAATTCTTTATCTGAAACAGCTTTAGGCTCATACCAGTTTACATTTGTTTTTATTTAAGTTTGTTTTATTGCCCTTTGAATCATGTCCAACTAATAATCTTGCAATAAGAGATGTAAATCGCATGAGAATTACGTAATGCACAAGCTACTTGGAGTATACCTCATGGAGAAATTTCATTATTATTGTTATTATTTAATTATATAACCTTATCCAGCCTAATAAGTTTCTAATTTTTGTGTCTTAATTACTTTTATAACAATAAATAAGAAATAAACATTAAACATAAGAGATTTAGTACTTACATTTGGCTTCTGTTGTTTTGTTGTCGGTTCTTCAACAAAACTTAACCCTAGTTACTTGTAGTTACATTACTAGTAACTAAAATAATTTTTGTTTATTTGTGAAATGCACTGAAGTACACAAAATGATAATGCACACAAAACAGACAATGTTCTATGACTATTATAATTTAAGGGAATTTCTAACTAAGGCATAAGTGCCTTTAAGTAATTCCTTCAGCTCTTTGATCTGAATGGCCAATAGCAACTTTCAATCTGTACGTGAAATAACTGGAAACAAGATAGAATTGTCATTCATTAATTTAAAACATTGTCTTTCTGTTGGTTATAAATGATGCAATAGCAAATGTCAGAGAGAAAGTTATTGGCAATTTGTTAATAAGAAGGTGTGATAGGAAAGCATAGCAAGTCGGTCTAACTTTCTGGTTTATATCTCTCTAAAGAAAGAAGGTTGAAGGCTATAAAAACTGAGCTATGCTTTAGTAATACCTATACTATGATGAGTAATCTATGTTACACTCAGGATGGTCATATTCAGGTGAGGAGAAAAAACCAGAAAATGGACAATTCAGAGCAATCAAATGTCATAGTATGTAGAGAAGAAGAGATTGAGAATTTATATAAATATTTCCATTTTGAAGCTAAGAAACTAAAACATGTATAATATTAAAATTGTATTTAACTACTTTTTCATTCCAAATTTATTCATATAGATTGATAATAAACTTGCTTAGTTAAATTTTGAATGTAATTCTGTAGAAAATCGTGACATGCACATTTTATCCATATCAAGAGAGCTCCAGCTGGAAATAAAATTATACAAAACTTTAAATATTACTTATACTATGAAGAAGTAAGAGGACTTGTTTCTTTGGCATTAAACCACTTGCCATGCCCACCTTTCACATCCTATCTTCACAAATTGCCAATAGTTCTCTGTAACGTTTTATACTATATTATTTATAACCAATAGAAAGGCAAAGTTTTAGTCTATCATATGATGTATTATATTTGAAAGTTTCTCTCATGATGTTCAGATTCAGAAGCTTTAGGAACTATTTTTAGGCTGTTATTCCATAGTTAGAAAGCCAGTTAAATTATGGTAGTTATAGAACATTGTTTGCTTTGTGAGTATTATTATTCAGAGTTCTTAGATACATTATTTAACACTTCATGCTGGTTCGAGGTTGGTCAATGTGACTGAGCTTGTAAATACAAGATAAGCATCAGCTTTCATACTATAATATATTTTATAAGTTTTGTGTATCCTCATGAAGTTTGGCAGGCTTTCAGTAAACATTACAAGCCTTTTATACACAAAAGGTCAGTTTTTTTTTATTAACTATTTTTACTATAGATTTGTTCTTGAATATATGGAGACAGAATGTTTGCTATGAGTTTAAAGTAAGTTTTATGTTAAGATTAAAAATACTTCATATGAAAATTTTCAAATTTTATTTCCATAACCTCTAAAACCTCCTAAATAAATATCAATAAATTTTTTTGGTAAAGCTTCATATTCCGATGCGATACAAATCTCTTCTCACACAATAGCTTTTTTGATCATCCACTGCCATCTTATGCATTGAAACAAATTTTCTTGCTTGAATATCTAGCCTTTATACCCCATAAGTTCAAGCATGCAACAACTCTCCAACAGAAGAGAACGATACACTCCCAGAGCAGCTACCTTCATCTATACTATTTTATGTGAACCTCACTTTCTCGATTGACACACTATAAGTCGGACGTGTTTCTCGCTATTTTCACTTTTCAATAATTTTTTTCTCCAATATTTTGGACCTTGCTTGGTGGTTGGACAGATGCAATGCTACAATTGGTGTTCCTCTTCCTCCTCCTTATCCAGACCTGCATCTTTTTACCAATGCTTCTCTTGTTAGTATGAAATAAATTTGTGGCATATTCATAGAATAAATATTGGTAAAAATTGGTTAGATTAACAACTTCTTATATATAGAAAAGCCAATGTATTTTGGTAGCATGACATTCCAACAATGGCTTAACAACAAAAGTGTAACTAAATTTTGTTTTTAGTTTCTGTACTAAAAGTATAAAATGAAATATATAGACAACAAAACTGGAAAATAGTTGTTGATTTCTTAAGTTAGAGTCTCCATTGATAAGAGGTTTGTTTTTATCAAAAACATTGGTAATATAACAGAAAATAGCTTAATTCAGAAATAATTTAAATCTAAAATTGAATCTATTTTTACTTTCATGATAAATTTTATGCGCTTTATTCTAGGCTAGGTGATCCCTCACTATGTCTTAAGGCTTATTATACCAACACTCACTACACTTATAAGGTTTCACCCTTGCACCCCTGTCACTAAAATGGTAATCGAATTATTCTATCTGTATAAATGCATTTTGGCTTTTATAACTCCTCATATTTTGAGAAATCTGATCAATTAGTGATTTGGGCAAATAAATGGCAAATG